TAATACTAGCCTGGCAGTTGCTAACAAACCTCCCAGTCATCTGACCTCCTGTATCAAGAATGGGACATTGATACTGCTTTCCAGAATGAACACTCAGACAACTATGGAAAGGGCAAAGAATCTGGAGCTGGAAATAGCCTCAGCTGGATGAGGACCTGGAGCCACTTGTATTATCTACATCCCTTATGGGGGACAGGGTATGTAGCAGATGAGCTCTGTGTCCAGTGGGGTGCCTGTTTTAAGTTTTAAGCTTGCCAGCCATTTTTAATTCTCAGTAGAGGTTCTGATATTTAAAAATTAATAAATGGCCTATGAATTGCTGAAATAATTAGCCAATGAAAAAAAGTGCGCAACCCCCTCCAGATCTGAACAACCTAATGGGGCTCTGAACCCTGGGTAAAGCTGGGTCAGAAAGTCGTATGAGCTAACACTGAGCTAGGAGTCAGAAGACCCGAGTTTTTGTCCTGGCTTTGTCACTGATTAGACCTTGAATGCTGCACAAGTCACATAAACCTTCTGAACCTCAGTTTCCTTATCAGTAAAATAGGGCAAATAATACCTACCCTGCCTGCCTTACAGGGTGGTTGTGGAGATCAAATGAGAGAATGCATGTAAGGTGTTACATTATTTTGTCTCATCAGAAGCAACCATCCCTGGAGAAAACTGCTTGATGGAGGATCTGAGAAATGACTGTTTCCCTGGACATACTGTTAGGAACAAGAAAGTCCTCTGCTTTAATCACAGCTCCCTCTGGGGTAGTGCTGGAGACGGAGGAGCTGTTGATGAAGTCACTTGCTTTCTCTCAGAGGATGTATTTGGACTCCCACCTCTCCAAACCACTCCTGCCACCCTTGCTTTTCATCTCTCTCCCTTGTCCATCCCTCGCCTCTTTTCACCACCCTAAAACCCAAAGTGGTGTCAGGATTTAACATGAGGTCAATTTTAGAACTATAATCGACCTGAGAGGTTACCTAGTCCAATCATTTTACAGATGAGGAAATGGAAGCCCAGAGAGATTAAACCACTTGCCCCAGGTCACGCTTGAAGTTTGGCCGCAATTGGGGAAAGAATCATTTTAGTTCCGTTTTTTCTATTGACCTCATGCCCTTATCGGTGAACTTTGGCCATGAAGCCTTTCCTAATCCTCCCTCCTCCCCCAAACTGTTAATGCTGTCTTCCTCTTTCAATTACCTTGTATCTACTTATCTGAGTATATATTGTATCCACCCAGGAAAATGTATACTCTTTGAGGGTAGGGACAGGGCCATAATGTCATTTATAACAGACATCAAGCAGAAAGGATCCTAGAGGCCATCAAGGTTGACCATCCCCCTCCATTTTATTTCCAATAAGACTCGAAGGGGTAGAGTGACTTGCCCAGGTTCCCGTAGGTAACGGAGCTGGGGAATTGACCCCAGATTCTCTGACTCCAAGTCTAAGGCCCAAGTACCCTGATACCTCACCAGCAGTTGGTGTATCTTTGTATCTCTAGAACTTAGTACAATGCTTTGCTGCATAATAGGTGCAAAACTAATGTTTGTTTACTTAAATTGAAAACTAAACTAGGCAAGGCATTTGATTTCTAAATTCCTTCAGTGACAGGTAAAAGGTGAGATTATGGGCTCTTATAGCATTGACTCTGCTTTGACCTGCTTCACATTCACCAAAAGCTTCCTCTCCCAGTATGGAGTGGGGCTAAGCATCATTTTGATTATCCAACTGTGGCCAAGATCAGCAAACTTTTGGATGGGAAAATTCCCCGTCATCTTCAATTATTGGGAGGAGTTTCTGTGAAAGGATGTACAGTATAATGGGAAGAACATTGGATTTAGAATCAGGAAAAGCCCGGTTGGAATCTTGCCTCTGGGATTTACATAGGCAAAGTATTTAATCCCTCCAAGCCTCAGTTTCTTCACCTGTAAAATGAGAATAATAATACCTCTAGCATCTGCCTGTTTTGAGAATCAGATAATGAATGGAAAGCAATATCAAGTCTTTTTACTGGTCTTACTTTCCCATCTTTGTACCTTATATTTCTGCCTTTTCTCTGTCTTTCCTCTTGTCCTTAGGACCCAACATTCTTCAGGTAACCAATTTGAACTTGGGTGGGAGGGAGGAGGAACTGGTGTTTCTCCTGCAACTAAAAGTTAAAATTGCACTCACAATGATGCTGGCATGCTAACTTCTGTCTTCAGTAGGCCTAGGCATGGTCCACTTTTGCTGCAGGACAAAGTAGTTAGAAGTTAGGGAATGGAGCCTGGGCTAACGATTCTAACACTGGTGTCAAGAAATTTTACTTTCTGGACTCTAAAAGGAGAATGAAAACTTGGACTCTATTCATCAGCATCTTTAGAACATGGAATATGCCAAAGAAACTAGAGATTTTTTTCCTGTTGCTATACCCACTTCAGCCTACTCACCTAAATTAGACCTAATGACTTCTGTCCCATAGTCAAACCTTATGATATCATCTGGACTTATGACTCTTCTATCCTCCAAAAAGACCTCATTTCCTCATTACCCCATAAATAGATACAAATTCTACCAGACCTAATGGCCTAATTGTATGTCTCTCTTTAGACTATATGACCAGAGCTATTCTCCCCATTATATTCTACAAGGATTATTAATCCCCTAATAGATTGTAAACACTCTGAGAAATGTTGTATCTATCTTGGTACCCAGTACCTAACCTAGTGCCTTTTGCATATCAGACAATAAGTACTTACTGAGGTAAAGTGAAATGAGATAAGAAAATCCTTATTTAAAAGGCAGTTGTGACATAATGGAAATGGAAATAGTACTGGACTTTCTGTCAGAAAACTTACTTTCAAATCATGACTCTGATGTATATTAGCTTTAATGGGTCTCTGAGCCTCAATTGCCTTTTCTTTCAGAGGTGGATAATATGCTTGCCCTACCTACCTCCCAGGGTGATTGTGAGGATCAGATGAGACCATGTATGTTTTTACTGTAGAGATGACCAGTTAGACCAGGGATGGGGAACCTTCGGCCTCGAGGCCACATGTGGCCCTCTAGGTCCTGAAGTGCAATCCTTTGACTGAATCCAAACTTCACAGAACAAATTCCCTTAATAAAAGGATTTGTTCTGTAAAACTTGGACTCAATCAGAAGGCTGAACCTGAGGACCTAGAGGGCCACATGTGGCTTCAAGGTTGCAGGTTTCCCACCCTTGAGTTAGATTCTAAGCTATGTTCTCCTGGTCAGACCCTAAAGTCTAATCAATTCTGCCTTTAAATGTGAAGTCCCTTTGAGTTCCAGCTAAGTGAACTTGTCCCTGGAGTCAGTCCCCATATTCCTCAATCTATGAATAAGCCTTCTGTAGTAGCTCAAATGCTTAGGCCCTGAACCCTGTTCTGAAAGCCATTAAGAAGGAAAGGATGAATAGGGTAGGAGTTTGAGGACTAGTAAGTTTTTGCTAGATATTAGGGATCCCATTGAGTTGGTCTAACCTTTCTGACTGAGGCTGTGGATTGCGTTAAATCTGTCAACCTGGCTATTAACACAGGCTGAAATGCCTTTCCCCTCCTTCCCAAAGGAAGCTTTGAGAGTTCCCTTTCTTTCTACCTTGATTTTTTTTTTTTTTTTTTGCTGACCAGATCTGCGATTTCATTAACATGGGGAGTTCCTTTGAAGTTAGGTGACATACCTAGGGTCACACAGCCTTTGCATGTAATAAAGGGGACTTAAACCTAGATTTTCTTGACTCCAAGGTCAGCTCTCCATCCACTACACCATGCTGTCTCTCACCCCTCTACCCTGTCTGCTTGATATCTCTCCAGGAAGCAAAGGACTACTGGTTTAAGTCAGTTCATAGACCACTAGATTTAACTATCTCTTTGTTCAGCTACCAAGTGCACCTGGATTTAGTTTCCCAGATGACCCAAAACAGTAGATAGTTAGGGTTAGTAATGGTTGGAGAGGATGGGGTTGGCTCAGGAGGCCATCTTACTTCTTGTCTAAGGGGACTGAAATCGTCCTATTTCCTCAAAAATTCTTGTTTAAAAAGGATAAACTTTATTTTATAAATAAACTATCCTGCTTTCTCATTTCTCCTACTAAAATGATATCCCTTTTCCTTATTTCTTTAACTTTAAGCAGTGGATACCAGCTACTTTTATCGAGAAGGGTATCTTCCTTGGAGTTAATACTGGGACCTCTACCATTGTGGTGAGACTGAAGTAATTTCTATTACCTCCTTAGACATTTTCCAAGCACTGAGCTGTAAGATTAGAGGTCTGGGTTGCAAGCCCAGATCTTCCACTGGTTTGTTTTATGATCATGAGTAAGACACTAAATTTCTCTGTGTCAGTTTTCTCATCTATAAAATAAGGAAAATACTCACCCTGCCCAACGGCCTCCCAAGGTTGTTATGAGGATCAAATGAGATAACAGATGAAAAAAGTATAAAATATTATGTCTGTTGTATTATTGTTAGTTATTTTTGATTATTTTATTTGACTTATCTTTCATATCATCTGTTTTATGAGCTATATTGGGACACCCCTTTAGCCCTTCAACTCTACCCATTTAGGTCCCCTTGAACCAAAAATGGGTATGGGATCCCCGGCCTCTGTCCCCTCCTTGAAAGAGGACTAAATCAGAAGGGATAAATTAGGACAGGGATGAATATGTGAATGTCTGGGTATGGGTCTTGGACTTAAGTTCCCCAAATCAAACAGAAATGGTTTGCAGGTTATCTTTCCTCCATTTGTGTAGATGATTGAGAGCTGACTGTTGTCCATACTATACTGTGGTTCATGTTTGTGTGATCATGTATAATGATAATAGTGTTCACTCTATATTGTGTCAGTTAAAAGAGATACATTCCTCTTTCATTCATCTCTGCTTATGGATATCACCATCTGATTCAAATGTCAGGTCCCAGAAGTAGCTAGCCTTGTCCCTGTGGACTAGGAAAGCACCAGATTTTGAGGCATTAAAGTATCATAGGTGAGACCAGGGAAAACATTACTCACGATTTGTCTCGCCTCCCAAGCCGTCTGGTAGGGCTTGATGGTCTCCGCCGGGGAGACAGTGACTTTCCACGACTTCTCTCCAGGGGAGGAGAGTGGGCACTTGTGGGTTTCAAGATCTAAGAGACAGAAAAAAAAAAGTTATTGCCATCATTGATCCCAAGAGCATCTCTCCCCAAGAACATCCCTCCTCACCCCTACAGCATATTTTTCTATAGCACCAGTCACTGCCTCCAAGACTATGCCTGGGAGGAAAGATGGCTTCCAAAGGGGGATGGAAGCATCCTAGCTTAGGATATCAGGAAGAGGATGCATCACTTCATAGATGTCACTATTTGTTCTTTTCCCTTAGCTCAAGAACACCAGAGGCTTTAAGCCCTGGAAGTTTGGTTTCCAAAGCTGATGAGTTCTTCCTCCTTCACTTCCAGAAGGAGTCGTCACTTTTACGGTGTACTTGACAAGCAATATTGTTCCAAATAATCAAGAACATTTCCCCCATTTTCTCTCAGAGATGAGGTCAGCTTCCCAAGTAATAATCATAACAAAATCTCTGATGGGCATTGTTCCTTCCCCTCTTAGAGCCTAGTTTTTATACAGTGAATACATAGAAATCAGCTCTTGGAAGTTTAGATATGGGAGCACCTCTACAGCCTATGATTTACTTAGTAGCTAAGTCCTAGGGAGATGCCTGAAGCACATGTAGGTTGAATGACTTGCCCAGGGTCACCTAGCTAATAATAAATGTCTGGGCAAGGTTTTGAACACAGCTCCTGACATAGAGTTCTCATAAAAATCTCAATGAGGAACAGTTGAAACAAACATGATGGGAACATCACATTGTTCTAGAATGCTATTTTCTAGAGAACACGAATACTGTTTGTGTGTGGTCTGAACAGAACTCAGCACAGTGATTTCCAAACTTTTGTGAAGCTATGGCACTCTATTTTTGTTTGATCTTGTCACATCAGGTCAGAGGTAAATTGTGTTAAGCCAAAGGCCATTGCAAGACATAGAGCAAAGGCTAAGGTTTTGTGAGGGATTTTTGTTTTGTTTTGTTTTTGTGTAATGAGATCTTGGAGCAGAGTTGGGGAACCTGTAGCCCTCTAGGTCCTCAAGTGCAGCCTTTTAGGGTTAGGGTTAGAGTCAGAGGCATTTAGGTAAGGGGATTTGTTCTGTGAAGTTTGGATTCAGACAAAGGGCCTCACTTGATGACCTCAAGGGCCACATGTGGCTTCAAGGCCTAATGTAGAGGCATTACCCTACCACATGAGTTGAAGTAACCTTCTTTGATTGGCTATGTAGCCATAACAGGATGCATCTTTAAAACTGCCAGACTAGAACAATCTCTTTTCTTTTGTGGACTTTTCCTGCTTTCAGAGGGTAAAGATCATGCACAGTTCACCCACAGCACAGGCACCGTGAAGTGAACCAGGAAGTTTTTTTTGTCCTCAGTTTCAGGTGCCAGCAATAAATCCCACCAGACCTGGGAATTTGAGCCATTGCAACCTTGGAACCAGGATTCTAGGTGGGATATTGCAACCAGCCAGCCTGGTAGGGAAGACTAGAGAGGTTAATCCCACTCATGTGGTAGGGAAACACAGAAAAGCAGGGTGTCTCATATTAGACAATCTGGGCAAGCTCCAAGCTCCTCATTACATTTGTTTTTGGTAAAGAACGGGAGAATTGAGTTTTATTCCTTAAGATAAATTGCTTCTACCAGTCATGCTGACTTTCTTCTACCATGCCCCCTGCCCTCATACCTACCTTCATTCTCAAGTCCCTGGCATATTTCTCCAGCTCTTTCCTTAGGTCCGACCTCATCATCTTTGTGACATTGAGAACCAGTTGCTTCCACTCAATGGGCTGGAAGCTGTGGGGCTCATGGGGGACATACAGCCCAATCTTGACTTTCTTGACTGTGTGTAGATATTTCTTGTAGGAGTCTTCAAAGTCAAAGATGAGGTCACTCAGAGTCCGAAAAGTCAGAGGTTTGTCCATTAGGTCGGACCTCCGGCTCATGCCCAGTGAGCCGTAGCGGCCATTGCAGTAGATTCCCAGTACAACATGATGGAAGTAATTTCCTGAGAATTGGGTTTTAAAGCTGATGGGGAATCGCTCAATGGAAGGCTGCCCATTTGTTAGGTATCTTATGTTGTCCAGGTTAAGGAAGAGGATGATGATCTTGAAAAATCAGAGCTATCAACCCTCAGAGAGGCAAAGAGTTGCTGAGAGATCTCTGCGTCCAGGCAAGCCAACACCTCAAGGCTAAAACCACACTCTTGTTTAGCATTTTACAGTTTACAAAGAGCTTTCACATTCGTGACCCCATCTGGTCCTCATAGCCACTCTTAAGGTAGAAAAGGTATACATTATCCCTATTTAATAGATGATAAACTTGAAATTTAGAAAAAGGAAGACACTTGCCAAAAGTCACACAGTTCTTCTGGCTCCTTCACCACCTGGTAGTGTGACCTTGGGGGAGTCATGCCTCCTCCAGGAGCTTTTGTTTCCTTGAATGTAAAGCCAGGAAGTTGATTGAGGAGGCCTGTGTGGGGTCCCTCCCAGCCTTAAATCTGTGGCCCTATAATCTTGGGATCTCATGGAACATAAGAGTGGGGAGGGGAATCTTTGAAAGCATCTGATCTAATGAGAAGCAACTCTCCTGGCTAATGAGTGAGAAAGCCAGACTAGAACCTAGGTCTCCTGGCTCCCAACCAAGTCTTCTTTCCACTAAGCTATGCAGTTTTCTTCACCTTCTAATTCCAAATCCACTGATTTTCCTACTGCACCGGACTCCCTCTAGAAAGCATTCCAGACCAATCAGAATACAATCCTTTTATAAAAGATCAAAACCTTGTAAAAGTGGGAAAAGCTTCTGCTCTCAGCATGGGTTCTATGTAAGAACTGGCTTCTGTACATCCATGAGAACTCTCTTACCTAATCAGACCCCTTTGTTATCATTGGCACACACTGGATTTAGGGATACCGTTTAGGGAAGTTTTTCTTTGTACTAAGCTACCCTTCTTTCCCAATACCTCTTGTAAACAGTTTTAACCCCTCCCCACCACCACAAACCATTCCGACATTGAACAACCGCTTGCTGAACTATTCTTTATGTCTAACTCAGTTGTCTTCTATTGCAGGTAAGGTTCCCCACCCCAGTCTAGAATGCTCTTTCACCTTTATGTAGGCTGAGCATATCCTTCAAGAGACAGCTTAGGTCCCACTTCCTTTAAGAGTACCTTCTTAGCTACCCCCATTCACAATTATCTCTCCCACCTCCACACCAGGGCACACATTGTGTGCTCCATTCTTCTGGCATTGACATACTGCCTAGTATTGTTATCTTTAGAAAAACAAACAAAAAAACCACCCAAAACCTGTATGTCATGTAAGCTTCTTACTGGCAGTACTCGGGTCGTATTAATCTAGGTTTCCCTATACCTCACCTAGCATTGGGCCTTGTAAAAGTGTTTGTTTTTGTAAAAGTAATGCTTGTTTACTGGCATTTTGCTATTGTGTCTTTCCTTACACTGGGGTCTGTGTTAGCTAGCTAGCATTTACATAGTGCTTTAAAGTTTACAAAGCAGTTTACAAATATTATTTCATTTAATCTTCACAACACCCCAGTATGTTAGGTGCTATTATTATCCTCATTTTACAGGTGAGGAACCTGAGGCACAGAGACATTGAGTGACTTGTCCAGGGCAAGACTTAGACCTATATCTTCCTAACTCCAAGGTCAGCACTCTATCCACCGTGCTACTTAGTTGCCTGGTTAGATAGAAGACTTCAACCTTAGAGGAGCAGTATAGGGCCCCCAGAAAAGTGGCTAGGCACACCCAACAACTCCTTCCCTGCAGGCCACATGAGGAAGGGAGGAGGCTGAGGTTAAAAGTGGGCTTCAGAACCCAAGAGTGAGAGATGAAAGGTCACAGAAAGCACCTTTCTTGGGAAGGACTCTAGCAATAGACTTCACCAGCCTTACACCTATGAAGTACAGAATACCCCTATTATGAGACGCAGCATAGTGAAGTGGATAGGGAGCCAGCCTGGAAGTCAGGAAGTTACATGTTCAAAGCTTGTCTCTGATCTATTAGCTGTGTCTTTAAAACTCTTAAGTTACAGATAATTTGCTGATCTTTGTGGATGGAGGGATTTTCCATATTTGGAGTTCTTAACATTGATGAAATCATAGGTTCTCACACACACAAAAAAAATTAAAACCCATATCCTGTTGAAACAATTCAATATTGCAGATCATTTAGTTATATTATGTGTCCTAAGGTCATTGTATTTAGAGCTAGAAAGATCATTAAAATTTATCTAGTCCATTCTCTTCATCTTATAGTTGACGAAACTGAGGCCTAGAGAGGGTAAGAGATTTGGCTACTCATAATGCAATTAGTGGCATAGCCAAGACAATGCAAATCTCTCTACTCTTGGTTCAGTGTCCTTTCTACTACATAGGGTTCTTAATGTTGTTATCCATTCCTCAGAACCTAATCTTACACAGTCAAAACTTGAACTTACATAGGCTGTCACCAATATGTCAGGTCTGTCTCTCGTGATTTTTTTTTTTATTTTTGCAAAGGGAGTTGGTTCTAGGTCACAGCTGTGCCATTGGTCTACTCTTACCCACAAGAGATTACATCAAGAGAGAAAATGAAATTACAGCCCTCTGTCTAGTCTTGTGTTTGCTCAGCTAGCTGGATAAAAATTCTCAGATGGGTCAAAACAGGGAGGCAGAGGAATGGACCTCTTGAACATAGCCCAACCTTATCATCTTAGACTTCCCTGATGTTTTAAAAAGGGTTTGTCCTTTTATTAGGCAGAATTCTTACATTCCTCATTGATGGCAAAAGTCCACCTGCCCCAGAGGGTCATTCAGATCAAAGTGGGATTCTTGGTGCCTACAAGCCTGGGAGTCAACTTCAACTTTTCCCAAAAAAGGAGAACTGAGTGCCTAGAAATCCCCTAGCCTTCCAGGAATGTGCTGGCCTACTTACATACATCAGGAAGGACACACAGCTGTTCAAGATGAAGCTTCTGACTGCAGCTGCTATGATTTGGAGCATAATAGTCAATCAAAGCTCTATCTGGCACGTGTAGATTTACACGGGGCACACTCACAGGACCAAAAAGAAATTAAGGAAAAAACCTATTGCGCTACATTAACCTGGCTTATGACTTGAATCCAAAAAGGAGAAACAAATTACCTTGCTTTCAGATTAGAAAAGCTCAATAATAATGATAACTCTCTATGTAGGGCTTTCAGCTTTATAAAGTGCTTTCCAGATAAGGCCTCTGTTAGGAAATAATGGGGTGCTATCTCCTTAAAGATGAAGAAACTGAGGTTGAATCATACAAGATAGCTAGAAAGTGACTGGTAAAAATTGTTGATAATAGAGCTACTTACATGTGCCCAGGCTACTGAGGAGACAAAGGCAGACTCCTAAGCCTTTTTCTCACCCCTTGACATCCCCAGATGCAAACAAGACTACCAAGACCTATCAAAGGGCAAGGAGAAAAAAAAAGGGTCTTGTAACCAGAGCCTTTGATGTCTTTGTCCAAGAATCAATTTCCCTTGAGCCTGACAGCTGTCAGAGCTAACCATCTCCCAGCCCCAGTCCTCTAAATGTTACCTGAATTATGAGTTTTTGAAACTCAGGAGCAAATTACCCATTGTTTTTTGGCCCTATGCATGTGTGTGGGTGTGTGTATGTGTGCATCTCCAGAAGGTGCCAACACATTGCTCATCCATACTTCCAAGAGACTCCAGGGATTTTAGTGACCAAATATGTACTTTCAAGGCACACTTGCATCTGGGTTTGTTTGTCCTTCCATCAACCTAGAAAACCCAGAGTTGGCTACAGAGTCAAGAAATGAACTAGATCGCATGTTCTCCCCCAGCCTCAATTGTTCACACCCATTAATCTTGCATGAGGCTATGCTAAGCAGCTGTAGTTGGGTCCCTACTAGCACAAAAGGGTAGGGTCCCAAAGACATCTGCTGCTGCCTCCTCAGTCCCAAGCCTATCACTGCTGCCTGGCTGCTGTTTTCTTCAGCCATGTGGGAGATGTCTTTTTATTTCATCACTTTTAAGAGTGGAGGGGTAGGAGCAGGAAGGGCTGTGTCTTGTTTTGCCTTTTTTTTTCCTCTTAGAAGGATCTTCATATTGGCAAAGAGAGAACAAAAATGATAAACAGGGAGTTGAAACCCTTCATAACCTGACTCCAATCTTCCCTGTCAGGCTTATTATACATTACTTTCCTTTAAACACTATATAGTCCAGTCATACTGTCTCTCATACATGACATTCTGATGATTATCTCCCAGCCTAGGTACTGGCTGTGCCCCATGCCTATACCATTCCATCCCCCCTCTTAAAATTCCTACCTTCCTTCAAAGTTCTTTTCAAATGCCACCTCCTATAGGAGGCTTTCCCTGATCCCCTCAACTGCTAGTGCCTCCCCCAAACCAATTACCTCATATTTATTTACTTCCTATATATTTGGCATCTACTTAAATGTGTACTGTTTTCTCCTGTAAAAGGAGATGAGTTTTTTGAGAGAAGAGAGACTTATGTTGTCTCATCCCTGGGTTCTAACACAATGCCAAGCACAAAATAGGCATTCAGTAAATACTTGGTTGGTTTATGGGCCCAGAAGAATTCTTAGGGAAAGAATTGTTGGATATGATTGTTGAGCTATGATTGGTGAAAAATGATAATGAAAAATGGGAGAGGTGCTCCTGGACTGGAAAAAAGGGCAAATAATTCTGTTTTCCAAAAAAAGAGGTGGTGGTGGTGGTGATGGTGGTGGTAAGAAGCTAAGCTAAATTAGACCAGTAAGCTTGATTTAGAATCCTGGCAAACTTGACTGCACTGACACAGAATAAATAGGGATGAATGCCCTCCTTATCCTACTGTCAGGTATTAATTAGCATTAACTTCTCTAGTCACATTAAGAATTCTTGTTTGGCATGATGATCTTGGGCTCCACGAGAATTTTCAGAGTAGCCACATCCAGGAGAACAAAATAAATGGGAGAGCCATATCAAGTCATAGGACCAAGAGCTGGAAGGATCTTTAGAGATAATGTAGCCCAACCATCTCATTTTACAGATGAGACTCTAAGAGGTGACATGACTGCCCAAGATCATATGGATATCAAGAGGCAGAGCCAAGATTTGAACCCAGGTCTTCTGACACCCAGATTCACATCTAGTGTTCTTTCTCCTGCATGTCAAGAGGTATCATTGAAGAGTGGAAACAAAAGGGGATTTGGAGTCAGAAGATCTAGGTTTGGATCCTGGCTCTGTCAATTACTTGCCTGTGTAACCTTAGACAAGTCATTTAGTTTCTTTTGGCTTCCATTCTCTTATCTACAAAATGAGGGGGTCAGACATGATGGCCTCTAAATTCCTTTATAAAACAAAATCAACAATCCTATGTAAAACTCAAATCATATTCACAGAGAGAGCCAATCCCTCCCCAATTTTATTATAAGCTCCTTGAGGGCAAGGGCTGTTATTTTTCATATTATTGTCCTTAATGACTAACAGAATGTTTTGCACACAGCAGATGGTTAATAAGTGTTCTTTGAATTGAATCTGATTTGCATAAAAACTCACATCTGATTTGCCCACACAGGCTCAGGACATTTCCAAATGCTTCATATCCATATGATGGTCATCTCCTTTTTTTTTTTCTTCTTCTTCATGGTTCTTTATCTCTTGCTCCATCATTATAGCAATATATCATATTTAGATAGTGCTTCAAAGTTTACAAAATGCTTTATTCACAACAACCTTGTGAGGTAAATAATGGAAATATAATTTTCCCTATTTTACAGATGAACAAACTGAGGCTCAGAGAGGCTGACTAACTCACCCATGGTCACAATGCTAATAAGTTCTAGAGATGAGACTATGGCCCAGGTCTCCTTGCACTCTTGTGTACAGTGCCTTCTGTATTCCCTCTCCTACGGTGAGATATCTCCTTCCTTCTCCAGATGTTTGTCATAGAATCTTAGAGCTGGATGGAACCTTTGACTTTGACGCTACTTCTCACTACTGCACTGAGACCAGAGTATATTCTGTGTACAAGAGAACCAAGAAAAATGGAGGGAGTGGCAATCGGAAAGGCCACGGGAAGTCTTGGCTGAATAGCTTCTGTGTCCTCATCACCATGAACCAAGCACACAATACATGTGAGATTCATAGGAAGTGGGAGCCATGAGAGAAAGGCAGCGAGGTACTGTAGTACAATTAAATTCAAATGAAACGGACCTAAACTATATATAAAGATCTCTGCAGGTTACATATCAACTTGGTTTAAAAATGAATGTTATCTATGCTTTATTGTATTTTTATTTATTTTGTTAAATATTCTCAATTACATGTTTAATATGGTTCAGGCCACATTTGGGAGTGTTACAAACCATATGGGGCAGCATGTTTGACAGCTGTTGGACTTGTAATCAGGAAGCCTTGAGTTCAAATCTTCCCTTAGACATTTACTAGCTGTGTTACTCTGAGCAAGTCTTATTTAACCTCTCTATGCCTCAGTTTCCTTATCTGTAAAAAGGGACTGGATTCAAAATGGCTAGCTCTAAATGTAAGGTCCTGTGATTTCCCATTAGCCCCCAAAGAGGCATTGTCCTACCCTCTAAAAGCTTCCTGAAACCTGTCTCCTGAAAAAGGAGACAAGTTCCTGTCTTCAGAACACCTATTGTGTAGGGAACGATGCAGTCCCTGCCTTTGGGAGCTCTGAGTGCCATGGAGGAGACGCAGTCACTGTCCTAAGAGCAGAGCTGTAACAAGGAATTTTAAAATCTGGGTAGAGGATCCTACGCTGTAACTGAGACAGTTGGTACAACAGATTAGGGCTGGCACACCACCCTTAGAGGGAGAGACAGAAACCTGGGACTGAATCCCAGAAACCATTTGGAAGCTTCCTATTTTAACTAATTGCTTTTGCTAACTAGGTGCTAAACTCTGTTGTTTCTATATTGTTGAGGTACTACAAGTGCTGTCACTACCCTCTAAATTCAGCACCTTGAGGCAAAGTTCTGCTCATTGCTCCCTAGTTATGTCTCTGCCTCAGGGAACTCCTAGTGTGATAAGGGAGAAACAGTTCCCTGTGCTACAGAAGCTTCCAGTCCAAAGGCGTGGAAGCAATTATCTCTTCCTCCCCCCTCAGACTCCTTCATAAGACTTTCATTAATGAAGATGTCCTGCAAACATATGTTACCCCATACAACTAGAAAATTACAGTTATCCCTTCCACATCGAGCCTTTCCCCATCACAGTTCTGATACATCACACGTCGGCATAAGAAATTAAATGGGAATTTTTTGGGAGTTTTGCAGAAGCTGAAGAAGACATACAAACACCAGTAGACAACACAGAAAAAAATTTAGAAATTTAAAAATGCATAAATATATATATAGTGTTGTATAATATTATCATATTTTATCTTTTAAAACCATAATAATTCAGACTTCTTCTCTGGTACAAAAGGAGGGCCAAAAATTTTACACGATTTTCCAGATCACAGGGGTACTGCACTCCTAACCAACCTCGATGTGGAAGAGATAACTGTGCATTGGTTACTGGCCCTACCATTGGCCTAGGTGATGAAGGATGCTAATGGAAATGGTCCAAAGAGTTAACCACTCCTTTGGACTTGGTTTGGCTCTGGTTACTAAAGTCAAGAAAAACACCAGAAAAGTTTGAAACTCACCTCCAGGGGATGGGGGCAGGGAAGGTATCACTGAGAATCAAATGAGCTGGCTTTGCCTATGAAAGCCTTTGCTAATTATGAAACACCACGCAAGTGTAATAGGCGGCATTACGATGATTATTGCAATGATTTTTCTACACCATCCAGGATGCCCACTGGCACAGGATACATTTATATATTTATTTATTTATATTTATTTTTACCATGTTTGATGCCATCATCTTTGGAGTTTGCTTTTTCTTACTGGTCTTTTCTACTGATGTAAAGTATATACAAGTGAAAGGATACATGCCCAGGATTACAGCTTCGAGACATTTGATAGGTAAAGATTCTCGAGTCATTTCTTTTGCTGTTTCCATCAACCTGTAGTGCAAAGGACAGCAAAGGATCTCAATATTCATTGCTTCACCCAGTCAGACAAGTCAACCTCAGCACCATGTCCTGAGTGCAGAGTCCTATACTAGGAAGACAGTCATCTACAAAAGGGTCAAAGAAGGTGTTTCTCTGACTATATACTTGGCTTATCTTCACAGGAGTGTGCCTGGGTATTTCTGAGTCTGTATGCATCCTTAGCTCTTGTATTTAGCACTCCTAGGATTTCACATCTCCTGCACACACCAAAGTCCAGGAAGTTTTTTCAAGTGCTTGCAGTAAGAAACTCATGAACACACTTTAAAAGCTCCGAGCCCCCAGGGTAGCCCCGCCCCACCTCAGACTTGGGCTGTGGTCACGAATACAATGGCCTCATAGTCTCAGAGTTGGAAGGGACATTAGACACCATCTCATCCAATCCCCTCATTTTAAAGCAGAGGAAACTGAGTCCCAGGCAATTACCCACACCCTAAGGTTTGGCAGATATTAGCATGGTTGAGTAGGGGTACAGGGTACAATGAAGATTGGTTGACTGCTTTAGAGAAGGAAAAAGGAGAAATGGCTTAGAGGCTGGAGATACCACTTACCCACTCAGTGGTCTCATTTTTCGAATTTCAAAGAACTGCGTCCCTGTGTGATTGTATCTGTGTGGAGTCAGTAAAGGGAAAATGATGGCAAACCCCCAAAAGTTCCAAAATCCCAAAGAAGGAAGCACATCTCTCATTTCAGCAAGGGAGGCTGTTCACTCTACCACTACCATAGAATAAGGTAGCTAGGAGAGGGGGGCGATGTCCTGCAGGGTTGTCCAATGACTTCCAGTAGCCCCAGTCCTGGCCGGAAGATCCAAGATGACTATAAAGTCATGGCAGTATTTGGATTCCTAAATCTGAGAAAATGCCTGAACCTTTTGAAGGCGCCATTTTAAAAATTCTTTCTTTGTATCCCCAGCACTTAGCATAGTACCTAACACATAGTTGGTGCTTAGTAAATGCTTGTTGACTAACTGGCTGGTTGCCCTGGGAGGCTAGGCAGTGAAGGACCGGCAGAAATGGGCCGTATTATTCTGAAGATAGCAAATATCCCTGGCTGTGGGCTTGTTGAGATTGGACCCTATTCTCTTTCTCTGAATCTAAACATATGAAATCATTTGTATTTTTCCTCTCTGCCTCAGAGCCAAGGAGAGTGTGTGTGCCCACCAAGAAAATGTCAATCACAACTACCCTGCTTTGCTCAGACCACATCTGGCAGACTATGTTCAGTCCTGGGTACCATATTTAGGAATGGCCTTGCTGAGATTGAGAGAATCCAGAGGAAGACTCTCAGGATAGTGAAGGACCTCAAGATCATGCCATAACAATAGCTATTGAAGGAACTGGGGAAATTTAGCTTGAGAAGAGAAGACTTAGAGAGAGAGAGATGACCATTGTCTTCAAGTATTTAAAGGACTATTGTGGGACAGAGGGATTCACTTCATTTTTCCTGACCTTAAAAGGCAAAACTTTCTAAAACCTTTTTCTAAACGAAACAATGAGTGGAAGTTGTAGGGAGGCAAATTTAGGCTTGAGGTATGGAGAAATTTCCCCACAATTACAACTATTAGGAAGTGGAATGGAAGGTAGTGAAGTCACCCTCACTGGAGATCTTCAACCAAAGGCTGGATGCTGTGGACAAAAGCAAAGGGCACGTTGTGGAGGGTTCCAGTTGTTTACATATTGAGAGGCAGTATGGCTAAACAGAAGAACCTGCAGGTCTGGCATCACAAGACCTGGGTTCAAGTCCCAGATGTTACTATTTATGTAACACTGAGCAAGTCTCTTAGGCACTCTGGACCTCAGTTTCTTCACCTATAAAATCTGGAATGAGACAGTTGGTCTGGAGACAATCTAGATAACTTAAGTATTATTATTCCTTCCCCTCCCTCTCCAGGGGATCCAGACCTGTATGATCATTGATATAGGGAGGTCCCAGCATGCAAACTTCCTCCATCAATGCAGATTAGCCAAATGTCTGTAATTAAAAGTTTTAAAGACTTGCAGAAAAAAGTAACTTGCCCAGGTATGCAGGGGCAGGATCTGAACTAAGGTCTTCCTGATGCTGAGGCTAACTCTCTCTCCACTACCCAAGCTGTCTCTCATAAGGATGTTTATGAATATTATATGCACATCTCTTTGTAATTATACCTAATGGATGCTTGTTGCCTCTTTAGAATCCTTGGTCATGCAGCTTCAGCTTGAACACCTCTAATAATGAAGAGCTCACTGATTCATGAGGCAGCCTGTTCCATTTTTGGACATTTTTAATTGTTAGGAAGCTCTTCCTGATACTGAGACATTTGCCTCTCACTGACTCCCACCCATTAGTCCCAATTCTCCTCTTTAGATCCAAAGGAAATAAGTAGTCCTTTTCCCATATAAAAACCCTTCCAATATTTGAAGACAAATATTTTGTGTTTCCATATTCCTGCTCTTCTCTAAGCTAAACAGGCTGAGTTCCTTCAAGTAATCTTCCAAGGGCATATTTCAGATCCTCTCATGATCACATCCTTTTTCTGGACACACTACAGTTTGTCCAAGTGTCTCTAAAAATGGGGTATCATGATGTTGACATAATATTCCATATATAATCTATATGTGTATAGATCTATAATCCATATATATATATATATATATGAAATTCAGTGGATACTGATTTTATCATTGAAGACCTATGATGACATTAACTTTTCTGGCTTCTATATAGCACCCTGGACTTGAAATTAATTATTTAAAAAACACATTTTTCTCACACAAACTGCTATTGATATAGTTTTCCCTAATTCTGCAATTGTGTGTAGTTGATTTTTTTGAACTTAAGTTCAGGGAGTTTGGGGGCAGCAAGGTGGTATAATGGATAGAGTGGCAGGCCTGGAGTCAGAAAGACTTATCTTCTGTTCAAATATGGCTTCAGACACTAACTAGCTGAGTGACCCTGGGCAAGTCACTTAACTTCTGTTTGTCTTACTGCACTGGAGAAGGAAATGGCAAACTACTCCAGTATCTTTGGCAAGAAAACCCCATACGGGGTCACAAAGAGTTGGACGGGACTGAAGGACTGAACAAAGGCATTGAACTAGAAAAGTTCTGAGTACAGACCTCGTGACAATCTGTATGGATGATATCCTAGGACAGTTAAATTTGGAAAAGCTTTATCATCAGAAGTTTGGCCATAGCAGCTAACAAAACTGCCTATCAAGGCACATGCATAATAGTAATAGCTTGCATTTCTATGGCACTTTACGGTTTGCAAAGCACTTTACAAATAGTCCCATTTGATCTTCACAACAACCCTGAGAGGTAGATGCTGTTACTAGATAGGTGCTATTATTATCCTATTTTGCAGATAAGGAAATTGAGGCAGACAGAGATGAAGTCACATGGTTAATAAATGTCTGAGGCTGGATTGGAACTTAATCTTCCTGATCACAGGTCCAATGCTCTATCCACTGCACCACCTAGCTCTTTTCAAGTACTGAAGTTAGAAATTTCACCTAACTAAATATGGCCCACCATTCCAGTCTGTTGAGATCTTTTTGGTTCCTGATTCTGTCACCTGACACATTAGCCATCAGTCCAAACATTTTATTATCTCCAAACTTGACAAGCATGCTTTCTATGCCATTATCCAGGTCACCAATAAAATGTTGAAAAGGACAGGGCCAAGAAAAGATCCATAGGGCACTCCACTAGAGACCTCCCCTAGGTTAACACCAATCCTTTAATTACCATGCTTTGCATATGGCTGTTTAGCCAGTTATGAGTTCACCCAGATCTTATCTGAGTACATCTCTCCAAGAAACAGCCTACATGTCAACTTCCTAATGTAGGAGTCTGAAGGACAGAGGTAACTGGATTTTATATCCGACACTAAATATCTGCCATTCTGGACTAATTTTTCCCCAATCCAGAAGACCCTCAAACTACAGACCTCTAGCTCCCTTCATTCAGAGTTGTCCTAGAGCAGAGGTCAGGTCAACCCCCTCCGCTATTCTGAACACCAAAGATGGGGCTAAGTAATAAATGCCAGGGACCACCGATGGACCTAGAACAAAAGCAGAAGAAGTTGAGAAAAAGGGAGATGAAAGAAGAAGGAAATCAGGAAGAATAGAAGAGGAAGAGAAAGAGGAGAGGGACCTATGGTGGAAAGAAGTAGAGAGTCACTAACAATTGCCTCAGGAGTACCAAGGTGGCCCTCCACTGCAATAGCCTAGCCCTGACCCAAAAGAATAAATATTTCATTTCAGTTATATTCTCCTGAAGTTTCAGTGAAACCAATTAGAGGATCCATGAGGCCTTATTGGCTGACTTCACCAATTGCCATGAAGCCCTTCTTGATTCATCAGACAGCCCTTCACCCCCTTCCGTTGTCCCCTCACTCAGCAGGCTCCCAGTCCATGGTCAGAAGGATACTGTAGGGTCTTCATGTAATTCTGGACTGCGTGAAGCCATTCCGGGATAGACATGGATATCCTGTAGTTTGGAACTGGGGGCACTGAAGGCTGCAGAGAAAGAAAGAGAGATACAAAAGAAAAGATAGAGAGAAAAAAAATTGTACCAAAGGGCAACTCTGGGGTCCAGCTCTCGAGCAAGAGACAGGAACTGGGAGCTTCTGAGAGATGAGAGAAAGAGGACATTGATGTATTCTCTGTTTCACCAAACAAGGACTTAGGAATACAGAATGAGTAAAGTTAAGTAGTAGGAAGGTGTGGTATGGGATCAAAGATGGAAAACTTGTGATGATGCATGCTGGGGAAACTAATTGAGTGGATGTCAATTAAATCCACTGATAGATTTGGTCCAGTGCCTCTGGAATGCCTTTTCATCTGCAGGTCTGTCAACAAGGAGAGAAGGAGAAAATAAAGCCATGTATCCCAGAACATCTACGATCCCAGGCTCAGAGAAAGGAACACATAGGCACATGACTTCTCTACAACAGCAAACTAAGTACATATCTACACAGAAAGATCCCAAGGCAAGATGTCCCGGGATTTGGTTTATGGCTTATCCCTATCCCAAAAGGGGGCAAAAAGTGAAAGTTCCCTGTATGCTGCGCAAGCCCTACTTTCTCCATGAAGCCCACCTATTTTAATCAATCAATAAGCATTTATTAAGTACCTACTGTTTTACAACTCACCCCAGTCCTCAGGATCCTTATTATATTTGCAGTCCTCAATATTCCAACTAGCACTAGATTCCACACTTATCTGATCATAGCTCTAGAGCCCTAGCTATTTTTACAGACAGAGGAACTGAGGCCCAGAGATGTTGAATGACTTGCCTAAGGCGATTGTCAGGTGGGATTTAAATCCAGGTTGTCTGACGTCAGAGCTAATGTTCCTTCCACTGTACTACTATTGTCTTGTTCTCATTCTCTGACTACTTGGTGTGCATACATACCCTCTCCTTAATAAGACTGTGAGCTTCTTGAGGGCATGGATCACATCTTACATTTTTGTTTCTATATCTCAGAGCACCTAGAGATGAGACAAGACTAGGCTATCCACTAGCAACTTGAGGCTGCTGGGGAATGTCTCTCTCTCCTAAGTCCTTCACCTTTTTGTTCTCTCATTCCAAGAGAAGTTAGAAAGGGTCTCTCTCTCCTGTCTCAGGGCAGGAAAGTCCCTCTGGCTTTTCCTTCTACCTCATCCCTCTGCCTTGTCTGGCTATCCTCAGATCACCATTTCTTTCTTTCTTTCTTTCTTTCTTTTTCTTCTTTTTTTTTGGTAATTGGGGTTAAGTGACTTGCCCAGGGTCACACAGCTAGTAAGTGTCAAGTGTTTGGTCTGAGGCCGGATTTGAACTCAAGTCCTCCTGACTTCAGAGAAGGTGCTCTATCCACTACGCCACCTAGCTGCCCCCTCAGATCCCCATTTCTTTACTAGTCAATAGTCACTGAGTGTCTACCATCTTTAAAGTCCCTATCCTAGGAAGCATGGGGAATAGGTGCAGGAGAAGGCAAAGAAAAGAATATAAAATCTTCAGGGAATCTGAACTATAACCAGGGAGAAAGCACGTGTGCGCACACGCACACACGTTTCCTTTTCAGTCCAGTTCAATTTAATCCAATAAACAGTCCAACATTCAGCAGAGCCTATATATGTATAGTACGTAATAGGCAGCAAGATGAGGTCACTAACCCCAAACATACCTGCATGGTAAGGAATACCAAATAGAAAAGAGCTCAAAACCCTTCCTGTTCTGTATTCCTTTGGGCAGCCTCCATCACCTAACTAGTACACCTCCTGGAAAGGGAGAGGTGCTTCAGCTGGCAAACCTGAAGCATCTGATAAAAGCTCAGATGAATGCTGACTGTGGTGTTGCTTGGGCACAAGGGAGAGGAATGGCTCTTGTGTGGGTGGACCACACAGAGCCTTAAAAAAAAAAGAAAAAGAAAAAACTTAGTAGAAGCAAAACACACAAGATCCTTCCCTCAGAGAGAAGCCACAGTGGGAATAAAGTCTTTTCTCAGAGCTTAGAAGACTCAGTCTGTAAAAATAGGAATAGGAATAAAGACAGGACCTTTGATTTTATTGATATAAGGAAACTCCATCTATATATACAGGTCAGCACCTTCTCTGCAACATATATTCCTAAAGAGTTGCCTAGACCAGTGCTTCTTAAACTGTGGGTTGCAACCCCAATGGGGTCTTGAAAAATTTGGCAACAGCAAAAGGTTTCTGAATGCGCAACAACCAAAAATTAATTAAAAATCAAATGCATAGTGAATCCAAGGTGTTTCTGGCAGCACCTGTCTGAGTTGCATTGCTCCACTGCACTGCAGCCTTGGTTCTGAACACACAACATGCGCACTTTGCATTACACATGTTGTCATCCCATGAATGCTGCTGAAACTTGAAAAGGGGCAATGAGTGGAAAAAGTGTAAGAAGCCCTGTCCTAGACTATTGAGAAGTTAGAGAATTGACCAGGGTCACAGAGCCAAGATGTGTCAGAGCTAGGACTTGACCCCAGTGCTTTTCTAGCTTTCTGGCTGCTATGTCAGGTTGTCTCTTAGAAGGTTCCACCCGTTTCTGAGTGGAACAGAGTCCCAAGAACTCTAGTGGCCACTTGACTTTTGGATTAAATCTCTTAAGTGACTTAGGCAATTCAGTTAACCTCTGGTATAACAATACTTCTACTACCTACTCCATAGGGGACTTGTGAAGAAAACGCATTTTAAACTTTATATATTTAAGAGTTATTATTACTGTAGATTAGTACCTTCTGTTGTTGTTTTTGTTGAGTCATATCTGACTCTTTGTGACCATGTTTGGTTTTCCTGGCAAAGATGCTAGAGTGTTTTGCCGTTTCCTTCTCCAGCTCATTTTTACAGATGAGAAAATTGAGGCAAACAGGGTTAAGTGACTTGACCAGGGTCACAAAGCTAGTGTTTGAGGTTGGATTTGAACTCAGGTGTCCCTGACTCCAGGCCTGGCAGTCTACCCACTCTACCACCTAGCTGCCCAAGTATCTTCTGCCACATTTTTCAAATGAGGCAGATTTGGATTCTAGCTCTTCCAAGTCCCTGCTCTCTCATCTTTAAAATTTCCTATTTCAGTCATTCAATGTTCACTAAGTACTTACTATGTGCCAGCCACAGTACTAAATGCTAGGAATATAAAAAAGGCAAAAATACAATTCTTGCCCTCAAGGAGCTCACATTCTAATGGAGACAACATATAAATAACTATGTACATACAAGATATACAGAATATGTATGGAAGGTAATCTCAGAGGGAAGCCACTAGCAGTGGGGAAAAGATCAGCAAAGACACTTGCAGAAGATAAGGTTTGAGCTGAGCCTTAAAGGAAGCCAGGAGGCTAAGGTGAGAAGGGAGAGCATGAAAGGTATGGGGAACAGCCAGCACAAAGGCATGACCTTGGGAAAAGGAGTATCATTTCAGAGGAATTGCAAGAAGGACAGTGTCACTGGATCCAAAAGTACATGGAGGAGAGTAAGGAGTGAGCAGACTAGGAAAGGCCTAGGTTGTGAAAGTCGTTAAATGCAAACAAAGGATTTAATATTTGATCTTGGAAAACCACTGGAGTTTACTGAGTAGGGATGTGACATGGTCAGACCTATAGCTTAGAAAATCAGTTTGGCAGCTGAGTGGATTGGATTGGGGATGGATTGGAGTGGGGATAGATTGGAGTGGGGATAGATTGGAGTGGGGATGGATTGGAGAGGGGATGGTTTGGAGTGGGGATGGTTTGGATTGGGGATGGATTGGAGTGGGGATGGTTTGGAGTGGGGATGGTTTGGACTGGGGAAGGTTTGGATTGGGGAAGGTTTGGATTGGGGATGGATTGGAGTAGAGAGAAACTTGTGACAGAGACACCAACCAACTGGCTATTACAATAGTCCAGGCATGAGGTGATGAGGGCCTGCATGAGAGTGGCAACTGTGTGAATGTAAAGAAGATGTATATATGAAATGCTGAAAGGAAGAAATAAGACTTGACAATAGACTGAACATGTGGGCTCAGCGTGAGTGGAGAGTTGAGGACAACACTAAGGTTATGAATGGGGGTGACTGAGACAATGGTCATACTCTCAATAGTAATAGGGGAGCATGGAAGAGATTGTGGGGGTGGGAAGATGGGGAAGATGAAATAAGGAATCAACTAGGAAGGAATAAAAAGACTGCCTTGCAGCAGTGAGGGCCCAGCTGAAGTTGAATAACATGAATTCATAGTATATCCATTCAGATGGTTGTGAAACATCCTCATTTCATGGCTAAGTAGCCAGTATCTGATTTATCTTAACTCCTGCCTTGAGGAAAAGTAGAAGAATGTGAAGGGCACCATTAGGAATAAATTGATCCAAAGACCAACTGGGAGTTTCTAAAGGGCAGGGAACTGATTTTCTCCATCAGACAGGGGGCCCCCTAGAGGTTGGCAGGCATGAACATGTCTCACTCAGCACCAAACTGTAAGCACAATCAAACCCTGACCGCAGTGGGTAATTGACTAATTAACAATCTAGGCTGACCCTTTCCAAAAGCCTAACCAGAACCTGGCAAGAACTGAGAGGGAATGGAATTAAGGAAAATGAAAGGATCCTGGAACAGTCTTTCTAAAGTACAGTGCTAGGATTCCAGAGGTTTAATGGGATTACAGAATCCCAGAATTGGAAGGGATGTCAGAGGTCCCATAAATGCACAAAAATTCTCCCTCTCTAATACATGCAACAGGTGGTCATGCAGCTCATGTTCAAAGTAAGTCCTCTAGTGAGGGAAAATCTTCTGCCACTGAGTCAGTCCTTTCCATTTTCAGATGGCTCCATTTGTTAGAAAGTTTTTCCATCATATTAAGCTTAAATTCACCTCTTTACAATTTTCAACCATTACTCCTAATTCTGCTTTCTGGCATTAAGAAGAAAAAGTTTATTCCTTTTTCCATGGAACAGCCTTTTATATACTTGAAGATGGTTATCATGTTTCCTTTGAATCTTTTCTTCTAACATCCCTAGTTCCTTTAGTTGATCCCCTAGTCAATCCTT